CTTGACCCGGCTCACATGGCTTTTTACGATCTGGCTTCTGCTGCTCCAGCCTCGTTTCTCAGCCAGCCTGACTACACCCCAATAGAGAGTAATCACGTGGCAGGGTTTGGCTACAAGCCTTTGTATCTTCCCCACCCTTCTCCCTGCTTACCTAACCTTACCGCCCGCCCCTGTACCTGGCCAACTTCTTCTCCTTCAGGTCTCCGATGAGCTTTCTCTTTCTTCCCTGCCAACCCCCGATTGAGTTAGGTGATCCGGGTGCACCTCCTGAACCCACCGTACACACCCAGTGACACACTTGATCACGCTGCACCTGACCTGCACTCCCAGCCCCGACGACTTAAATTCCACAAAAGCAAGGACTGTGGCTGATTTACTACTGCATCCCCTGTATCTGGCATAGTGAGCCCCCGCTAATACTGGTGGAAAGAGTGAATGAGTAACTGAATGATTACACAAGAAAGAGAGAAAGAGAAATTCTTAAGAACCTGAGTCACAGGAAATTAGAGAAATCAGGTTCATAAAATGAACGAATACACAAGAAAAAAATTCTTAATGAATGATTCACACTAAGCCAAATGTAGGATCCTAGCCCTGTACTCTCTTTGACTTAAGACTATTCTTTAATGCACAGTATGGACAGCACACGATGCCAGGGAGAGTGGAGAAAACCAGACTCACTTCCCACCAAATAAGCTTGGTTTCCTCAGAGATTAGGTCTTGCATTACTTGCTCTATAAACAAGAGTAATCAACAGAGCACTATTTTTTTTTTTTTTTTTTTTAAGACAAAGTCTCGCTCTGTTGCCCAGGCTAGAGCGCAGTGACGCGATCTTGGCTCACTGCAACCTCCGTCTCCTGGGTTCAAGCAATTATCTGCTTCAGCCTCCCGGGGAGCTGGGATTACAGGTGCACGCCACCACGCCCAGCTAATTTTTGTATTTTTAGTAGAGACGGGGTTTCACCATGTTGGTCAGGCTCATCTTGAACTCCTGACCTTGGGATCTGCCTGCCTTGGCCTCCCAAAGTGCTGGGATTACAGGCATGAGCCACCATGCCCGGCCTCAGAATGCTAATACTAAAAAGCTAGTATTAACAGTGGAATTCAGTGTCTGTTGTTTTTAATGAACTTTTTTTAGTGAACATATTTTTAGTGAACTTTCTAATCTTACTAGTTTATGAAATATGTACAGTAAAATAATACAGTGTTTGAGATTTACCTCAGAATTACCAGTTGAAAGGAGAGTGAGGCACAGAGGTAGAGGTGAAACAAAATTAACCAGGAATTGACAGCTTTTGAAGCTGGTTGATGGTCATATGGGGGTTCATTCTATTATTTTCTCTGCTTTGGTGTAAGTTTGAAATTGTTCAAAATAAAATGTTTTAAAAAGTAAAAAAAAGTTAGTTAAAATAGTAATGATCATCCTTAAAAAACAAAAAGAAATTGGTGGAAGAAAGTCATTCTCAGCATTGCCACTTGATTCAATGAGTGAAAAAAAAAAAAAAAAAAATCCAAAACCAGCCATACGTCGTCTGGAGCCAGCTTGGTCTTGGTTAGTTGGAAAACAGGAATGTTCTCCAAGGTTAGTAAACTGTAATGAGTTCCACATAGTTTTCAGGCACCAGAGTTTACAAATCACTGCAGTTTGATTTGTAACTCCATTCACATGTCCACAAGAAATACAGCCTGTGCCGATTTTCCCCATTATTTGCTTAGCCAAACAATACTTTTCCACAACACAGCCCTGCAATCTCAACCACCACCCAGGGACGCCATTTTACGACCCTTGGCACCACATGTCCCCTCCGCCGTGTTTTCACAACTCCAACGTTCCCCCTTTTAAAGTTGGCAGAAATCAGCAGCCCTGCGTTTCTTGTTATTACTCCTAACGTTTGTTGCTTCCAATGGGGAACGTTTTCTTCTCCGAGAGGCTTTCACCTCCGCCAGGCCTGTGCCTCTGCGGCCCAAGCGCTCTTCCCTCCCAGCCCTTTCCCCTTTCTCTCCACAACCCTTGCCGGCTCGGCTCCCACGGAGCCCACGCGGCCTTTCCTGCCCTGGCAGCGCGCGTGTTTCAGCCCCTTCCATCAGGTCTGGCCGAGCTGGCCGCCGCGTTCCTTCCCACGGCCTGGCGGGGGCCTGCAGTTCCACCAGGCAAGGGGGCCCCGAGACAGGGCCTGGGCCTTGCTTGCTGCCCTTTGACTGGACCCCCTCATGAGAAAAATTCCCTGGCTAGGGTTCCTCTTGTGCTGGGTGGAATCCAGGCCTTCCTCAGCTTTTCGTCTCCTCTGATCTTCGTGGAGACCGCCTGAAGAGTCCAGTTCTCCCCACTGTCTCCCGCCCGGACGGCCAGGCGGCTTCTAGGTTACTCGCGGGCCAGCTCTGCTAGTGCCCGCTTCACATCTCCCTTCTGCTCTGCTCTTTGCAGCTTTTTTCTATTTTAACTACGTTGGAAGTGAAGATGCTTCATTGTATCCACACCCGAGGTTGTTTTTTATTCTTGGTTTTTGCATCCTAAAAACCATTTAAATGACACTTCTCTCCTATTTTTAGAAAGATCTATAAACAATGCACTTCCAGGATTGTTCCTTTTTCTCCTTAAATCCTGTGCCTTAGCACTTGCAGTCTTCTAAGAGTTGCTTTTATAGAAATTTTTGTTGGCTGGCTTGGAATACTTTCTATTGCTGTGCATTTTTTGAGCTCACCACGAGCACACTGAATTTCCTCATCAACCCCGAGAAAAAGTTAAAGTTATTTTATAAAACAAAGTGAGACTTAATTTTTAAAAAGAAATGGAGACAAAGAAGTCGATTCACCTAGATTACAGCTAGTAACTAGCCAAACCCCATTCTCATTCCACACTCCTCAGTCCTGATTCCTTTACACATTCACTCCGTATAGGTTTATTAATCACTCATTCTGTGCAAGCGTACATCCAAGTCTAGACCTGAAAATGAGAGTTTATCTAAAAATTTAAAAACAGGATTTTTAAAAGAACAAAATACCTACTTTTCCTTTCTTACTAAAGTGACAGGATCACTGATACTGACTTATTTCGGTATAGGTGCTTGGATTTCATTGTAAAATTCTCACTCCCCGAATATATGGCAGAAATAAAACTCTAGACCATAAGCTTTCATTCGATATTGGTAATTCTTTTCATTCCGATTGTTGTAAGGGAGGCCCCTCTAGGACCAGACAGACTGTGCACAGATCCCCCAATGCTGCTTAACTAGTTGGGCAAGTTAATCATCTTTTCAAGCCTATTTCTTCATCTTTAAAATGAAGATAATGGGTTTGTTACATATCTAAAGTACTAAGGATGGTACAAGGCATCTGGAAAGCACTTAATATAGCTCCCTTTTCTTCCCCTGTCAACTGGAAATTTATCATGTTATTAAGAGTGAAGAGTAAAATGTTTTAATAATAGGCAAACAAATCTCATTCTTTTTCATCCTGTATCAAATTGTCCTGGAAACATTAGAAGTAAGTGACTAAGCATAGTTTAGTTTCAAGCCTACTGTTTGATTGATGTGTCAGTGAGAAATGAATGACTAGGTGGCATGCAGTGAAAGAATCCCAGAAAGGTTGTAATTCACACCCTAGATAATCACGGGCAATTCATGGAAAGTTGGATAAAACACTAGCTCAAAAATATTTATTGAATTTTAGAAAATAACCCTACCATATGTACTTGCTTTCCTCTTTGCCCTTACTGCCTTCAGAGTAAGGTAACATGAGTTTTTAAAAATGATTTTAAAACATGAGTTTTAAAATTATCTTTAAAAGATTTTTGTTGAAACAAAAATTCACATGCCTTTCTTTTGGGGGAGAGAGGAAAGTAGCTTTCCTACTTGTTTGTTTGTTGTATTTTAAGAGGGGTGGAATTATTGATTTATCATTACACCTGCCCCACTTCAACCTAAGATTAGAAAATGTATAATTTCAAGATCTTCAGAGCAACAGAATGATGTTATTCCAAATCAGAGAGAGATTTGTTAGGAGATCAGCAAAAGCTTTTCGTTAAAAAATGGAGCCATTTGCCTGCCCACACTGTTAATGAAAGTAAAATGTACCTTTTGGTACAGGAACTGATTTCTAGTGTGTAAATTCTATTCTATTCTCTGATATGGAATGTTTGCATGTCATTAGCCAGCCCTCTGTGTTTTCACAGTATAGATATGACCACCTTCTATTAACTGAGCATATACTAATGTGTATAGGTTCAGCCTTTATTAATGGGGTAAATGATAGATGCAAAACACTTTTAACTGCAGCACACCATACAAATGTTCATTCCAAAATTGGGAAAAGCATATTATGGATTCTTGTTTTTAAGCGTAGTTACTCATGTTCCTGAACAGGTCATATTTTGGGGGTGGCCAAATATTTTTTTGTAATGATGCCTGGCTGTTAAAAATGCTTTTTGCTGAGACCTAAGAAACTGTAGTGTCTATTGTTATTGGAAAACATATTCACCTAGATGAGTGGTATTTTAAATTATTCTTTTTTTATCATTAAATGTAGGTGTCAACATATACACTGCCTTATTTTTAGAAAGTTTGGGATTCATGGGTGACAAAAACTCAGAAAACAATTTCTTAAAAACAAAATTGCTTTTTTAGTAGAATCTGTTTCAAAGACACTTTGGAGCAATAACATTTTTTAAGTAGCAGAGAAGCTTGTTTTAAGTAACACGGGGAAAGATGTGACCTTCCATTACAGTGACAGCACTTAGCCATAATCACCACGTCAGGAACATTTTCTTTGCAGGTGAAGGACAGTGAATAAAAGAATTTATTTGACAAAGCCTAGGACTATTTTGAATGGTCTCATCCTGAGATATTTATCAAGCAGGGACCAACACTTTGCAGACAACCGTGATTTTTCCCTACTGCCATCTTCAAAAGTGCTACCTTTGACAGTGATAAAAGTCACCTCTTAGTCTCAGTGGCTGAACAATTGATCTAATTGTCTTCACTGTTCCCTCTTTTCTATCACAGAATCGGAAGACTTTTTGATGGTACAGAGCCCATTGTTTTGGACAGTCTCAAACAGCACTATTTCATTGACAGAGATGGACAGATGTTCAGATATATCTTGAATTTTCTACGAACATCCAAACTCCTCATTCCTGATGATTTCAAGGTGAGGGATCCATGTTAAATCACCAATAGCATAAATATGTGATTTTTTTATGTGCTCCAAAAACATATTTCTAGTTCTACATTATTAACATACACCATCTCGAAAGGTGCCAGAGTTCTCTTTCACATGGTTATGCTGTATTCATGAAATAGTGGATATGGTCATTAAACTTCTGCATGACTAAAATAGGATCGCTTTGCATTTAAAGAATTGAATTATAATTCACTTGAACAAACTGAAAAGGAGTTGATTAAATTCAAAGCTCATTTCTGATATGTCTTAGAGAGCTAGAGAATAAAAGAAAACCTTCTTAGCTTAATGAAGACTTCCCCTCCCCGCTCCCAGAAATCGAAAGCATACATGAACAGTAAAATTTTAGAATTGTTCCCTTTACAGTTAGTAACAAGTGTTAAGGTTAGTCACGCTGAGATAGCCCACGTTGTGCTGGTAACTCTAGGCAATGGAGTCAGACAAGGAGAACAAATAGAAAGTGTTAATATTAGAAGGGAATTCACGAAAATGTAATTTTTGCAGCTGATAATGTTTCTTCAAATGGATGATTCTAAAGAGCATGCTATTAGAACTTATAAAGAACTCATTAAAGCAGCTCAATTCAGGATCAGTATACAGTTTTTTTTTTTTTTTTTTTTTGAGACGGAGTTTCGCTCTTGTATCCCAGGTTGGAGTGCAGAGGCGTGATCTTCGCTCACCGCAACCTCTGCCTCCTGGGTTCAAGCAATTCTCCTGCCTCAGCCTCCTGAGTAGGTGGGATTACAGGTGCCCACACCCACGCCAGGCTAATTTTTCATATTTTTAGTAGAGATGGGGTTTCGCCATGTTGGGCAGGCTGGTCTCAAACTCCATACCTCAGGTGATCCGCCTGCCTCAGCCTCCCAACATGCTGGGATTACAAGCATGAGCCACTGTGCCCGGCCAGTCAATAGCCTTTTTAGAGAATAACAAGAGCCAATTGTAAACTATAATAGAAAAATATACAGCAAAAATTATAACACCTAGGAATAAACCTAAGAAGAGACAAGCAAAGGCTGATTAAGAAAACCACAAATCTCTCCATACAACTGTAAAACAGTTGAATAAATGAAGAAACGTTCTAGGTTCCTGGATGGGAAACCTCAATATTGTTAAGATGTCAGTTATCCTCAAATTATTCTGTATAGTCAGGACAAACCCCCTTAAGTAATAGATTTTTCAAAATGAAATTTGAACCATTTATAAAGTTTGTGTAGAAGAAAAAAAAGTGTAAGGATAGCTAAAAAAAAAAAAAGTATTTCTGGTCATAGTAATGGTGATAAAGGTGGGTAATGTGGATGTGTCCTACCAATGTCAAAACAGACTTTTGAGCTATATTAATTTAAAGGTGTGGTTCTGACAGCACTGAAATATACAAATCAATGGAGAAGAGTAGGGTCCAGAGATAGATGTACAGGTACACAGGAATTGGATGTACTATAAAGGTGGCATTTCACATCAGTGGGAAAAGAAAGCAGTAGTCAGTAATAGGCGCTGAGACAATCAGCACTGAGACATTTGAGGGAATTGTAAAGCCAGAGCCCTGTCCTACATCATAAATTCACAAAATTTCAAAAATAAATACAAAAACAAGGGCAATAAAAGTATTAGGAAAAAATACAAAGAAATTTCTTTTTTTTTTTTTTTTGAGACGGAGTCTCGCTCTGTCGCCCAG